TGGAAAACGCGATGACATGTGAAGCGAACGATACTGGGTTCGAGTTACGGAGTGATTATTAATTCTAGAAAGCACGTAAATCCAGCTTACGAGTCTCAAATAAGATGAAATATACGTCCTGAATTCTACTGCTAACCACCATCTATCTTTACTTATAAAAGTATTTTGGTTGGTATTTAAAATAAACTACTATTAAAAATGTTTTATGAAATGATTTATTAATTAAATGTTTTAGGACAAGAACTGCGTGCCATCGCTTGCTCTGCAAGGACAGTAACACTTCTTTATTGGCTTTTAGTTTTGGTGATTCAAGCCACTTGGCAGGCTGATTTGACAGCTTTTTTAACTAGGAATACAATACAAATACCTGTATCGTCGTTAGAAGATCTTGCAACTTCAGGATTATCATTGGGAGCTATTAAAAACAGTGGTACAGTAAAAATGATACAGGTTTGTTTCTTTTTAACATATTTTCGGTAACCTAATATTTGTTGTTTCTTTTTATGGTATACTTCAAACCAGACAGAAGCAAATTTGTGTGTCATCAAATTGAAGTTATCACATACAGAATAACAGGTCGTCGTAATTCGTCGAAGTTTAAAAAAATACGTTTTCTAAAAATCTAACTTATTCATAACTTGTTTTATTGACCGTTTATGTTTTAATAGTGATAATATATAGTAGTGATTTTAGTTTGTTATCTTATAAGTATGCGGATTTTAGCATTTGAGAGTTGAAATTACGGGTCGATCAAAGCTAGACCACAACTGAAAACCTAGAAGCACTGGACACTTGTTCGTCCTAGTATGGGACTCCTCAGAAGCACACATCCATGATCCCGCATGGGAACTCGGACTCAGAGTCTGGAGGTTAAACGGTCGCTTGCGAAACTGAAGGTGTTGGGCTCGAGTCCAACATGCAGAATTGTGGATGTGCCCGGCTGAGGAGTTCGACACTAGAATGGAACGTCCATCTCGTGCCTTCAGTTTTTCAGTGGTAATCTAGCTTAAACCGACTCGTGACCTTCACTTGTATTTCAATTGCTTGTCTTGATACTAATTAATCACTCATTACACAGTATTCAGAAATAATTGCAATTCCAACAACAATGACAGGTTGTGTATATATCTTAAAATGAACCGTAACCTTTATTCTGAGAAGTGAGAATGAATACGATTTGTCAAGGTTTGTGATTTCTCTTTGTTGTTATTAACGACTAAATGTGATCAGTCCCTGTTGGAATATCCCAATACCATACTTGTTTGCGGCTATCGCATCTTGATAGCCTGGTAGATAATGCTCTGGAGTTTAAAGCGATAAGTACCGCGATTGAATTTAAGTGTAGATATCAACACTGAGATCCCGGTAAACACCAAATAGGAAGTAAATATGGGTCCTAAATTTAACTCGTAGCCAATAATAAAGGAGAAAACGGTGATTTCATATTATGAGAAGATAAAAAGTAAATGTACTTTATTGATGAGTGTGCATTTTCCTCTGGTTAACTGTTGATTATGTTGTATTAACAATAGTACATTTGGTATGTACCTCTTTTCGTAAACATTTTTGTCTTTCAGAGTGCAACTTCCAATGAATATTACTCAATAGTATATGAAAAAATTATGAAAAATCCAGTTATCCTTAAAAACATTAATGATAGTATAGCGTTCGTCCGCAACAGTACTAAAAATGTTGTACTAGATGACAGAATACAATTAATGCATAATTTACCTGACAATGCGGAAACTTTGACAGTTGTTGATGATAAGAAAGTTATCGTACCATTTGGATTCGCTGTAAGGTTAGGTGAAGAATACGCTCCACTTATGCTTAATTTGTAAGTTATTCTATACGACAGCATTTTCATTATTATCTAAAGCCTTATTAAGTCACCATACCCATTCGTAACTTTTGTTCAACTTAGCTATAGAGCGATAAAAACTTATATTTCATTGATAATTGTATGATTCAAAGATATATCACTACAATTAATGTGTGTACAAAGGTGACCGTAGTAACTCAGAAAGTAACATAAGGGTAGTGATGTGGATTAGATTATTGTTTCACTTACTCATAATAGTTCACTCATACTAAAATTTGATTCACTATGCTTCCTAGAATAATTGTAGTTACAAATTGACTGAACCATTCTGAGATAAGTTTTCATTAACAGATATTGATGGAGTACAATACAATGGAATAATTGTCCTTTCATAATGCAACGTAATATTACTAAAAAGTAACTAACATTGACTTACATGTTATTATTGGTTCCTAAATGAATATTTGAAGTATCAGTCCATAAATTGTTCGCAGATAAATTGACAATATTTTATCATAACATTTCATAGCTAAACTATTCACTCTGTTAACATACTTTAATAATCTATTTAACAATAGTTATTTAAAAATTTCATTGTTTTTTGATTTAGTATGTCAATTCTTCGGGAAAGAGGAGTTATTGATCACTTACTTGAGAAATGGAATGTTGAAAAAGTAAAAAGTACCTCAAATACAGCCACTTTCAATTTAATTACATTGTACAATATATCTGGTGCTTTTATTGTACTTTCTGTATTCGTTGTAACAAGCCTAATTGTTTTAATCATTGAAATAAAATGGCATAAATATTCATTAAAGAAAGAGAAACTTCATCCCAAATCAAAAAATTCTTCTGATGGTCATCCATCCTTATTGAGACGCTTCACACATCCGAAAGATGAGATACCTAAACCGAAATTAGACTTATCTCGTAATCCTACATTGAAACAGTTAAGATATGCTGGACATAGAAGAGCTTCAGCAGCATTCGACGCTACAGTCATCACAGCTGAAAATCAAACCGAATCCAATTTAGAATAAATGATGATTTAATTATGTGATTCAAACTTCATATTACAATTCATGATTATAATTTAAAAATAAGTCATCTACAGTAGGTCTTTTTGTAGTACACACAAATTTATATATTGTAGTGATAAATATGCACCAATTTTGAAATTATTATGTTTAACATTAACATAGAAAAGCTGCATAAATAAACATGACTAGTAATTATAGTTTTGCTATTCTGTTTACTCATTATTCAGAAATAAAAGTAAAGATCATAATGAAATTTTCTATCATAAATGGGTATTTAGTAATCGGTCTAGTAAATAAATTTCAACGTATGATCCGTGCAACTTAAAGGATGCAAATTCGAAAACAACAGGTGGATAATTCCTGAAATTTAATTCCTTATGATTACCAGGAGGTTATTTTTGGTAATATTGATTCATCTTCTCATTACGTTATCAGGATTATATACCGTTAATATTTTCTCAAAGAACTAATGCCTTGAAACTTGCAGATCTAACGTCATAAGTTGTCATAGTATGCTTCTGATTCATAATGAATTATTGGATGGGACCACGAGGCATTCTTGTTGAGAATATGGGACGATGAGTCATAGAAACTATGTTTAAATCAAAGAAGTTTATACAAAACATCTATCTAATTAGTGGTCATACGCTTGTTATTGACTAGCTTCGTGATGTATTTTTCAAAGTCATGATGGGAAGCTGTGGATTGTAAAGTCAAACAAATCGGGTGTGAGCTAACTGCTGTCTCGCCATTTCACAAAATGTAGACAAATTGATTCTGATTCAGGGATTTGGAAGGGCTATACTCACTGTGAAATGTTTCTCTTGCAGTCGTGGACGTATATTGCTATAAAGCCCCTAAATAGGATGAAACGGTTGTCCAGTACTCCTTTGATTCTTCCAATCTCCTCAAGTGCATACCAAACATTCACTCAAACTATTGTCAAATTATATAAAATATCTAATCAGAATTTAAAGTAACCTCATACTTATCTCACCTTTTAATTTGTCACAATATAAATCACAAACAAATCACAGGTTATTGTGATGGGGAGTTCAAGACATAATAAATAATTGTCAGTCTATAATTTCCATTTCTTTATCAGCTAGTGTAAACCAGTTTTTTGAAGTTAATGAATAGAGTTAGAATACTTGTTGGTTGGTGCAATTTATTTCTACTTGTTTTATTAAAAAATGTAATCTACACTCTAACTTCTGTTTGTTTACAGAGAAGACATCTGTCGAAGAATCAATTATGAACAACTATTGATAATTAATACAATATTCCGTCAAAATAACAAATATTATGAGTACCCCATATTATTAATTTACATCAAGTGTCTATGTATTACAGCCTTACTTACTTACTTACTTACGCCTGTTACTCCTCGTGAAGGAGCATAGGCCGCTCACCAGCATTCTCCATCCAACCCCGTCCTGGGCAATCCTTTCCAGCTCCTTCAAGTTCCTATTCATCCTTTTCATATCTGCTTCTATTTCCCGATGTAATGTGTTCCTTGACCTTCCTCTTTTCCACTTCCCTTCAGGATTCCAAGTTACGGCTTGCATCGTGATGTAGTTTGATGATTTGCGTAATGTATGTCCTATCCATTTCCATCGTCTTTTACTAATTTCGTCTTCAGATGGAAGCTAGTTTGTTCTCTCCCACAGTAGGCTGCTACTGATGGTATCCGGCCAATCGATGTTGAGTATCTTGCGTAGACAGCTATTTTTAAATACTTGTACATGTTTGATGATGGTTTTAGTGGTTCTTCAAGTTTCAGCTACATACAGTAGAACTGCATTGACGTTCGTATTGAAGATTCTCATTTTGATATCGGTTGACAAACGGTTGTTTTGAGTTCCATATGTTCCTCAATTGTGGGAATGCGAGCCTTGCTATGCAAATCCTTGCCTTTACGTCTGCATCTGAACCTCCTTGTTCATCAGTGATGCTTCCCAGCTATGTGAAGGATTCTACCTCTTCCAGAGTTTCGCCATTAGGAGTGATTGGATTGGTGTTCTCCGTTTTGAATTTGAGGACCTTGGTTTTCCCCTTGTGTATACTGAGGCCTACTGATGCAGAGACCGCTGCTACACTGGCTGTCTTTATCTGCATCTGTTCGTGTTTACGCGATAGGAGGGCTAGGTCATCTGCGAAAACCAAATCGTCTAATTGATTCTGAGCTGTCCATTGTATGCTGTGTTTTCTCTCAGATGTCGAGGTCTTCATAATCCAGTCGATCACCAGAAGAAAGAGGAAGGGAGAGAGTAGGTAGTTTTGTCTGACTCCGGTCCTTTCTTGGAGTGCGTCTGTCAGCTGTCCTCCATGCACGACCTTGCACTGTAATCCGTCGTATGAGTTCCGGATAATATTGGCAATCTTCTCAGGAACTCCGTAGTGTCGAAGGAGTTTCCATAACGTTCTCCTATCTACACTATCAAACGTCTTTTCATAATCAATGAAGTTGATGGATAGTGACGAGTTCCACTCAACTGATTGTTCAACGATGATCCGTAGTGTTGCAATTTGGTCTGTGCATGACCGATCCTTACGGAATCCAGCTTGTTGATCTCAAAGTTGATCGTCTACTGCATCTTTCATCCGGTTCAGCAACACTCTGTCAAAGACTTTCCCTGGTACTGACAGTAGTGTAATGCCTCTGTAGTTTTCACATTTGTTCAGATCTCCTTTCTTTGGAATCTTGACGAGGTGTCCTTCTTTCCAGTCCATCGGCACTTTTTCCTCCTCCTAAATCTTTTTGAATAGAAGGTAAAGCATGCTTGTGGATACTTCGATGTCTGACTTCAGTACTTCAGCTGGTATGTTGTCGGGTCCTGCTGCTTTCCCGTTCTTTATTTGTCTGATGGCCATTCTGATTTCTTCCGTAGTTGGTGGATTGACATCTATAGGAAGATCTATGTGTGCTGCTTCGATGTCCGGTGGATTCATTGGAGCTGGCCTATTCAGGAGTTCCTCGAAGTATTCTACCAATCTGTTCCGCTGTTGTTGAGTTTCAGTGATTGGCTTGCCTTCTTTGTCTTTGACCGGTCTCTCTGGTTTACTGTATTTCCCTGCTAGTTACTTCGTTGTATCGTAAACCTGTTTCATATTTCCTTCTCTTGCAGCTTTTTCCGCCGTCCTTGCTAATTCTTCCACGTATTTCTTCCTATTACAGCCTGATGTATACAAAAATAAAATATTCAGTGGAAAGGTTGAATGAAGAATTAAGTAGTAGACTACTTAAGATAAGAATAGTATTAATGTTGAAAAGAATCATAATAAGTAACGTTTTGTTATATCACAGTGAAGAATAAATCAAAGGAAACGTCTGTGATCTATTCATGGACAAATATTATACATATATTCACATTGTAAAACTATTAAGTAGCTAGTATATATATTCATCTTCCTCTTATTATGAGCAATATTTCGATCAACATACTTATTATAACGCTCGTAGTTCTAATATGTTCGACTACATTTTTTTCGCGGAACTCCGCAAACTCTGACAACATATGTTGCGTTCCGTTATCTAAGACCAAAACATTAGGCGTTCCAAACCTACCAAATAGTTGTCTGAGATGTAACAGTGTTTCAGATGTAGACGGTGTTCATACAGCATAGATTTCAGGCCATTTAGATTATGAGTCCACCACCACCACCACCACCAAAAAGTATTGCCTGTTTATTGGTCCAGCATAATCGAGGTGTACTCGAATCCAAGACTTGTTCGTCTCTGGCCATGGCTGGGCTTCTACTTTCGTTGTACTCAACGGTAGACACCAAAAATCAAATTTATCTATCCAATCAATACCTAATATGTTAGTATAACAGTTTCCAGAAATATAACATTTGCCGGCGTTAGTCTTATCACCCAATGTGAGAGGTAGCTGCATTTTCCCAAGTACAGTAATATTAGTTCCTGTGGTATTCTTAGCATTATAGTATGTAGGCTGAAATTGAGGTCAACCAAGTTTTATCAAAGTCTCTCTAGAAATTAATGTTTTGTCAGACCCCGTATCCACTTGCAACTTAACCGGTTTATCACTAAAGAAGGTGGTTGTGTACTTTCTTTGAGATGAGAATTGAGCACTTTTTGCGGCTAGAATAATATTCGAGTTATGTGGTATCTCTTGTGACGTCCGATTCTTATTTCCAAGCCAGTCTGTCAGTTCATTAGTTCAAGGCTTATCAGCAAAAGTTATTATGTTTCATTTCTGCAAGTATTTTTTGGTTATCATTTCCAAAGTTTAGCTAGTGTAACAGAGTACAACAATAACAACAACAACAATCTTTATTTCTTGAAAATAAAGCCTATTCAATTTACCAAAATAAGTGTTGGGATATTCAGAAAAATAGCCCAATAATTATCATGTTAAGTCTAATGGTGTCCTTGGAATCTAAATGGACACTCTTATTGGTCAATGTTTATTTCACTTGTCAAATATTGTACAAATGTTGTTTTCTATTTTATGGTACGATGTGGTCTGTTTGATTGGTATATAAACAGGGTATGTTTGAAATATAACGATTCATATCACTGAGGCTGAGACTTGCGTTCTGGACTCAACTGGCCGGGCTAGACAGGGAAGTGGGACCAATCAGAACCCTATGCCGTTCTTACGTGTTTGCGCGTCTTTGGTCCGATCGATAATTCGCGCTCACTAACCTCCAATCAGCCCTTTCTCTCTCACGTCATAACAATTATTCAGTCAAAACTTATCATCTCCCTTGATAACGGTGTGAATAACATTAATCCACGGGCCACGTCTAGTGCATTTAAATCTTCAATAAATTCCCATTCTTCTTATTCTGTAAGGGAACGTTTTTAGTTAAAGTATGTGATAAAATGATCTTTCTCAATATTTTAGAACAATGGTGGATAAATTATAATCAGCAGATGAAACTAATATTGCCACTAGACTTCACATGAATCGTTTAGAAAAAGGCGTAAAAGAAGTTGGAAATGAGACAATTCAAAACTATTTCAGAGACATTTTGCAGTTTACCTCAACATTTTAGACAACGAAGTTCGAAATCAAACTAAATTCATTGTGTAAGCAACCTGAGGATCTTGACTGTGCTTCTTTGACGAAATCAGGAACAAAACGGTAACGCCTGAATCTACTATGGAATAATTACTCATCACGTGAATTATTCATAGTGTTTGCTCAGACCCATACTTGTATTCAATCCACTTGATGCATTTAATTCATTGACGTCAATCTCAAGTCTGTATTATGCGGTAAGACAATGAAAATGAGTCCTTGTTAGTATGTTCAAATGAAAAACTATATTAGGTTGCATTTATCTAATTGAAAAGACAACTTGTAATCCTAACTAAAAACGAAATAATTATTGATTTATTTTGTAAATGATGAATATCAGTAGCATCATCTAGAAAAATATTTTGGCATTTAATATGTGCTCTCCGATTGACAGAATCTGACTTCATGTATCCCATCGATAAAACGTTAGGCTCGTTTTATTTTTAAAGATTATTCACAAAAATATTTAATCTCAACTCCATTCGAATTTACTTCGATGACGACTTTACAGTAATCGGTTAAATAGTTTGTTTTTTAACCTTTGAGCATGTTGATATTTCATGCAGTTAGATCATTTAACAAACTTTTGTAAAGCAAAGACAATAAACTTGATAGAATGAGGTGACCTAATTTCACTTTGTGTGCTCTAAATCTCCCACATATGTACTGGTATGCATAAAGAAATTAATTTTAAAAGCATATTTTAGTTCAATAGTGAACAAATGACTATTTTGATAAATCGATGGATTGGTCAGACATGATAGAAACCGCTATGTAACCGTGTACAAGGAACATGTGAAAACCATTGTGATTACGGTAGACAAAATGATAGTAAGTATCAAAATACAGCAGTAAAGTGATCATAATAATATTAGCTAGAGAAGGCAAGAAAACTGAAGTAATAAGATATCTAAAGTGATAAGGGTTCAGACATTTTATTGAATAAAACTGAAATAATAAGGTTTTAGTGATATTCATCCTAATGTCTAAACATTTACATAGATTTAGATCAAACACATCATAGTAAAATATTCACTCAATCAACCAACATTATCACCTAATATTTTTCCGAGTGATTCCAAAAACTCCACATCACAATCACAGACATACCCGTGAATGCATCACAAACATTCATTCATACAATAAAACATACCTGAACACAAATCATAAACATGCCATTGATTAATAACTTCACCACAATTGGAAGACCAACAAAATATTCCGGTTGTCCGAACATCAACGGAAAAGCAACAAGCATCAATAAACATCCACCTAAATGCCATGACTTTCTCTGTCCAAGTCTCAACTGGCGTTTCATTCGATTGATCAACCTCTTATCCTTCTTTACACTTCCATCTTCACACGTTATCGACTGATGAACAGTTGCCGGTTTTTCAGTTAGACCGAGTGGACGATCTGATAAATAACCAATCAATGGTGTGGCTAATCCATTGGCAATCTGACCACACAGTAATAATGCCCCAACTTGTGAACTACTCAAACTGATACAACCTTCATAGAATATGATATAGAATATACTGATAACTCCTGCAACTAGATCTTTAAGCATTTGACCCGTTCCATAAGCAATTTTACTAATCCACTTCATTTTATTTGTCGTTGTAGCTTGAATAACTGATAATGATTGTGAGACTTTGATGTTATTCATAATTCACTGATTTGACCAAGATTTATGAGTGAGTTAATTCAAGTGCACACACTAACTTGTTGAAGTGAGTAAAATTTCAGTGATTTATGCTATTTATCAGAATTGACATTAGTTCAGTTTAAATACTGTTGTATGTACAATAATTTCGCAGTAATTTTATGGCCTAATTAATCAATATGAACTGACTTGTCTCATTGTCCAATCAGTGAATAACTATTTTGGCTTTTATACTAACCGGCTTGATGAAAGATGAATATCAGCTTCATTAAAATAAAACAATTCCAATGTTATTTCTTACACTATTCATTGAGTACCTTTTTTGTATAATTAAACTGTGTTAGAGAGAAATTTCAGTGACTCATTTCACATAAGCAGACATAGCCGAATCTTTCACCTCACATTTTATTCAAAATACTGACTTAGACCTGTGGCTAAAGTTGTAACAGTCAAACATTAATGTATTAAGAAATAGCTTTAAAAATAATCTGAATAATTATAGTAACAACATGGAAGGGAATACTGACTAGTTCAGTAGGTTTTCTCATAAATCATTCATATGACATTCATTATATATACATAATTATTATCATTACAGTAAATCGATTGAATAAACTGTAGAGCAAGTTTAATAAGATTATTTTATTACTTCGACTCAATGTATTGACTTCATGAAACCGTCGTGATGTGATTGATCCCTCATTCTATTCAAATGAATGAAATGATTTAAACATGTAACGAAATCGTAGCGAAAGTAATAGATTTCGATGATCCAATAAAAACAGACAATAAGCACTTATCTTTTTGTATTACTTACTTACTTACTTTTGCCTGTCACTCTTCATGGAGCATAGGTCGCCGACCGGCATTCTTCAACTCACTCTGTTCTCAGTCTTCCTTTCCAGTTCTATCTCATTTTTGTACATTTTTCTCATGTCTGTCTCCATTTCTCGGCGTAATTTGTTGTTTGATCTTCCTCTCCTCCTTTAGCCTTGAGGATTCCATGTGAGGGCTTGTCTTGTGACACAGTTAAGTGCTGTCCTCAATGTTTGTCCTATCCACTTCCAGCGCTTCTCACTGCATTCTTCCACTGCTGGGATCTGGTTTCTTCTCTACCACAATAGCTTGTTGCTGATAGTGTCTGGTCATCGAATCCGAAGTATTTTGCGTAGACAGCTGTTAATAAACACTTGTATTTTCTGTATTAGCAAACATATAATGGAAGAGTCATAGGATTATTATTACCTTGATTTTCACATTGTTATATAGAAGTCAATCAAGAATAAATACTTAATTTAATCATCACGCGTACATTGATCCGAAAATTACCCTTGGATGTTCAAAATTTATATCGACATTATGACCATTTCTATGGCAATGATTTAAATTCAATATCCCGAATAAACCATACTGGCGTAGATATATTTGAAGATACTAATTTGAAGCTATATATTTCAAAGATTCCTTTATTGACTCATTACATTGTGATTGTGATAAATTCAAGTGATTAGTTCAATTTCTCAAAGCACACATTTTTTTCCTAATTTACAATCTATTATCAGTTGTTGTGACCAGCCTTAAATTCAATGGAGCTCAGGAGATTTCTTAATAAAAACCTCTCTAATAGAAGGAATCCATTATTGATTATTATTGTTATAACTTGCAGCCTGAGCGCCCTGTTAATGTATAACGTAACGATACCGCCAATTAGACAGCAGTGACTGGTCGATCGGACCAATGACGCATAAAACACGTGCGAGCAGTCTAGAGTCCTGATTGGTCCTGCTTTCCGCCTAGCCCAGCCAGTTAAGTCCAGAAAACCAATCTCAGCCTCCGCAATATGAATCACTTATTTCAAACATACGGGGTTTATACAGCAACCAGACAGACCAGATCGTACCAACAAAATAGGAAACAACATGTGTACGAGATTTAGCCAAATGTGGATGTGAATGCGGAAGGTAGCAATTAATAGACAGGGCACAATTCAAGAATGGTGAATCGTATAATAATAGTTCATAGGTCAAAATAAGGCTCATAAATATAGGGACACGAATATGAATAGCTTGGTTATTCAACAATTATACGATAAATTATACCATAAATGGATCCTAAAAGTTACCATTCATTATGCTTATTGGGACATAACTATTATAAATGTATTGATCATTACAATATTATATATCATGACAATCTTTGTAAAATACTACTTCTTAGGGTACAACTACTGAATCACATTAATTGTACTCAAATTGTAAGGTTAATTAGCGTCATCTCATTTAGATCTAGATCTAGACCAAAGTATGCTTATTCAACATTGACCAATTTACCCATTTTAGCTGTGTAAAGTATACAATTTCACTCTTCGACTGTGATTTTAATTTTTCTGCATTTTCTTTACCAATGACATGATTCTGCTGTTGATCATTAAGAAATATCTTAAGTCATGCATAGTTATCACATTAGTCTTTCAGAATGCACGAAAACTAATTCTTATCTTACTTATTTTATTATATCTGAATGAATATTTATCTTATTTAGATCTGTTAACATTTTGTGTGGCTTTTTCTGACTAATATGAAATACTTCAAAACAGTGCCATTTGTATAATGAGATTGAATTAACGATGTGCCTTGTTTTGTCTGATTAGGGTCAATCTCATGATTGAAAATAAATTTATATTTTAATTAGACTAAATCATTTTGTTTCATATTATTCTAGGTTAAGAAATGAGCACGCATGAGAAAGCTGAAATTTTCAGCGAAATAAAATAAGCTAACGTGAGAACTTTGAGAATAGTTTCATCAAGAACCTATTGTAATTCGTAAATATTAGCACGAGTTTGTGGAGGTTGTCGAGATTTTGATTGAGGTCATGAATCGATCAATGTTAGACCAGCATTGGAAACTTGAGGGCATTGGACGAACTGTTCGTCCTTATGTAAGTCTCTTCAGCAGTGCATATCCACGATCCCGGACGCGGGATTTGAACCTAGGACTCTGGGTCTCGCGCATGAACGTCTGACCTCTAGACCACTGAGCCGGTATCCAACGCTATTCATGTCTAACTCCAACCAATTAGTGAACTTTTGAAAGTCAGAAAGCTACTGACACTGAATTCATCAAAGTCTAGATCACTTCAATAACTGCACAGATTTCCATGTTTTCATTGTGAGAGTGGAGGATACTGAGTTTAATCGCTCACTAGGTAGCTGGTGTTCATTTCTGAGGAATGCGAAGCTACAATAAAAATATGCTTAAAATAAACATCATTTCTTATCAAATTAATTTTTAGAGCATTTCTATTCAAGAAGTGATGAAATAGAATGAATATATATCACACCACCAATCTTCTCGATGCTTCATTAATCGTAAAGACATATAGGAGCTGTGATCAGGTCTGACAACTATCATATGTAAATGCACACTAGACTACTTGAAAGTAGTGTAATTTTCGTGCGTAATTTTAGAAGTGCAATTTTCAAAGATCAGTTAAATCAGTGTTCAACATCATCGTACGAAATTTCGGTGAACACGTTAATCCGAAAATGATAAATTAGGTTGGAAATTATCAACTACTACTTGATTAGTGTGTGTATCACTGTGGCGACTGAATTATTGAGTCAATCACTCCATAGATAATCAGAATAGAACAGTTTCATGAAAATTTCACACAATATATACCCAGTATCTTGCCTAATGATAAAAGTCAAGTGTTTTTAACCCAGTGGCTCGTGATAAGCTTTGTGTTGCTGATATACAATTGATAAACGGGTTTTTTATTCTCTCAGTCACATAAAGAACTTATCGAAGGTTTTTGATAGTGTTCTATTTTATAGAGAATTCATGTTCATAGAGTTGTAGAATAAGTGACCCTTAATGAATTTATGAATAATTGGCTAATAATACAACACCTGATTGAGAAACTATGGAGGAAGTGGAAAGCTTCACATATCTGGGTAGCATCATCGATGAGTGTGAAGGATTTGGTGTAGACGTAAATACAAGCATTGGCGAAGTAAGGACAGCAATCCTACAGTTGAAGAACATATGGAACTAAAAACAACCGTCTATCAACCAATATCATAGTCACAATCTTCAGCACGAACATAAATACAGTCCTACTGTACGGAGCCGAAACATGGAGAACTACTATAACTACCATCTAAGTTGTACAGATATTTATAAACAATTGTCTATGCAAAATGCTCCAGATCCGTTGATTGAATACCATCAGTAACGACTTACCATAGGAGAGAACAAACTATCTTCCAACTGAAGAGGAAAGTATGAAATGACACTAGAGGGTCATGGACACACATTGAGGAAATCACCAAACTGCATCACGAGGCAAGCACTAAATTGGAATCGCAGAGGAAAAAGGAAAAGAGGTATACCAAATAACACATTGCTTCGGGAATAGCAGTTGAACATCGAAGGAATGAATAGCGGTTGTAAATAAGTTACCGGTGTGACTTACCTTGTTTTCGTGAATCTGTACATTTATTAGTGTATCTGATTCATGGAATGACTACTATTAAATAAATCGTTAGCGTTACAGCTCAATAAAATATTCCATCATTTCTTTGTTACATTTTGAACACAACATTAACCTAATACCGGTTGAATTCACGAGTCAATCTAAGCTAGAACGCCATTTTAAAACCTGGAAGCACTGGATGGCTATTTCGTTCCTGTATGAAACTCCTCAGTATTGCACATCCACGATAACTCATGCAGGACTGGCTTCAAAATGAATTTTCCAGAGTTCTGTTGAGATGTCTTAAACTTTGAACCCCAATCCGTGCAATTCACGACAGGTATTTAACACAGACCAAGGATGAAGGGTTGGAAAGGATCATGGGTGGATTCAGGTTAGATACTAACACTGTTGGTTACCCGCTCAGTGGTCTGGAGTTTAAGTATTCAAGTGCGAGTCTGAGTCCTGAGTTCGTGCCTAATGTGTGTGTGATTGTGAATGCACACTACTGAGGAGTCCATACT